CATCTGCATAAGAGATGATGTTACATCCCTCTGACAGGTGTATGTTGAGTATGCTGGACATGAGGGTATTGAAAAGGGCAGAACTGAGAACCTCACCCTGTGGCGTTCCATTTTCTAGTGGCATGTGTTGAGATAAGTGACCTTGAAATCTGACATCTGCTGATCTGTTGTTGAAATGGTCAGCTATCCAGGCCAAGATTCTATCTCTGATTCACATGTGGATTAGGGTCTCCTGATTGGCAAGAGGACATGCTAATTCAAAAGCCTTCTCCAGGTCTAGGGATTCAACTACAAGGGGAGTAGTGCATATTGTGTTAAGGAGTGTGGCGATGCTGTGCTCATACCCCTGGTGAACCTGTGTGTTTATGAGGGGGTCCCATTTTCCATCGGAGCCGATTTAGTACCATCCTCTCGTTTTTTTTTTTTTTTTCCCAGACAGCTGAGGAAAGAAATGGGTCGGCACCTGCCTGGGTACTTTCGTTTTGGGATGGGAGCTATTATAGTTTTTCTTTCTAGCTCTGAGGTAGCGTGGCAGCTTGCCAGGACTTGATGAGCTGTAGGAATGCAAGCTCTCCTGCAAAATCTAAGTGTGAGATAATGGGGAAGGGAAGAGGAAGGAGTATAAGAGAGAAAAGAGGGGCGACGCGGGGGACACGGGGCAGGTGAGGACAGGAGAACGGAAGCGAAGGGAGGTCAGGTCAGGTTGAAGAATTAGGCGTCTATGTGACGGGTGGCCGGCCTATGGAAGAAGGTCGGAGGATGTGGGAAGCGAGGAGACTGTCGGTAGGAGAAAAGCTGTTGTTCAAGCTGAAATCATCCAGCAGCTTGATTAACAAAATTTTCAGCAGTATGGACATCAGCGGAAGGGAAGGCAATGCGCGCTGCTGACCAATCCATCTGATTGCCTGGGTATTCTTGTTGTCTCCCGGATGCAGTGTATTTCTGTTGAGACAGACGTTCAGTGGGACTGGTGCCTGTCTGACCAAAATACTGCTTATCACTGGAGGCACAAGGAACAGCAAAGGTGTGTACCTTACAGGGAGGGCAGATGTGAACCAGGTTTCGATGGAGAGTGCTCACAAGGTGAAAGGTGAGTCTGCATTTGAGAGGCTGCAAGGGGGCGAAAGAGAGACAAGATCTCCTCAGTGTATGGCAGGCTGAGGACGGGCAGGTGAGGGGTCGCTTTAGTAGAGGAGTCGTTGTAGAAGGTATGCAACACCCTGGATAACGCGGCGTCAGGATTATGACGAGGGTGGCAAAGTTTGAAAAACAAACGGCGTTGGAAATCAAACTCTCCATCCAGATACTGAACGCCACAGATGCGGTGGGTGCGAGAGGGGGAGCTTGTTGTCAACCTCCCATTCCACCTTGAAATGGATGGAAGAAGAGAGAGAGAGTTCTGCAGTGACAGAAAATCAGAGAACAGGGCAGGGTCATCAGGCCAGAGAGCAAAGACGAGTACCGCAGCTAAACAGAAGGACAGGGTTGGAAAGAAGCTCCGACTCGAACTCCCTGGACAATTTTGCCAGGACTGGGGAGAGAAAGCAACATCGCGACACCGAACGTCTGAGAGTAGAAGCAACCCTCAAAGGAAAAGGAATTCGGCTCCACACACAGACGACTCAGCTGGAGGATGACATCGGTGAGAAGAGAGAGACAAGGATCCTCGGCAGGGAGCTTCCTCTGTAGGAAAGCGAGGAAGTCATTGTTGATTTATTAATTCTTTTATTTCTTCCTTTACATACACATACATCTAGCTATCTGTCTCTACACACACACATACACACAAACACACAATATATATATATATATATATATATATATATATATTATATATATATATATATATATATATATATATATATATATATATATATATATATATATATATATATATATATATATATATATATATATATATATATATATATATATATATATATATATATATATATATAATATATATATATATATATATATATATATATATATATATATTATATACACACACACACACACACACACACACACACACACACACACACACACACACACACACACACACACACACACACATATATATAAATATATATATATATATATATATATATATATATATATATATTATATATATATATATATATATATATATGTATATATTATATATATATATATGTGTGTGTGTGTGTGTGTGTGTGTGTGTGTGTGTGTGTGTGTGTGTGTGTGTGTGTGTGTATGTATGTATATATGTATATGTACACAGACACAGACACACACACACACACACACACACACACACACACACACACACACACACATATATATATATATATATATATATATATATATATATATATATATATATATATATATATATATATATGTATGTATGTATGTATGTATCGTAATATGTATTTATATATGTATATATATAATATATATATATATATATATATATATATATATATATATATATATATATATATATATATATATATATATGATATACATGTATATATGTATATATGTATATATGTATATATGTATATATATTATATATATATATATATATATATATATATATATATATATATATATATATATATATGTGTGTGTGTGTGTGTGTGTGTGTGTGTGTGTGTGTGTGTGTTGTGTGTGTGTGTGTGTGTGTGTGTGTGTGTGTGTGTGTGTGTGTGTGTGTGTGTGTGTATGTAACATATATATATATATATATATATATA